CAAAGTTGCTCGGAACTTTTTTAGGCGTTGGGCGATAGTGACATCGGCTGCAGTGGGTAGACTACGATGGGCTTCTTTTGAAAAGGCCGCTCAAAGCTTCCAAAAGTCATACTTCAATCATATCATTTATGGATAAGATCAATGTCATCTGGCAGGTTGAATAGAGAATGACCTCCTTTGATTTTGTGAGGGCTTCTGTGAGTCTTTAGAATAATGTCCAATGGACCTTTGAGGTTGTGTATGAGTCTGTAAGCCCAAGCCCCATTAAAGAAGAATTTATAAAATATCTTTCTGTCCATTTTCTTTGAAAAACAAAGATAAATCATTAGCGCTGATCACTCACCTGTATAGAAAGAGCTAAAGATCCCATGCTTCAGAATCGTAGTGGTATTATCAATACGGCTTCGCCTATAAAGTGGACTATAGGCTCAGTCCTGCCTAGTGTTTTCTCCTCTCAACAAGCCTGGTACTAGTCTGGTAGTTGTCCAGAGTAATGGAAGCCTGAGCTGGCCTGGACGGCGTACGATTCAGGAGTTGTTCCTTTACCGTGCGGTATCAACTTGTCACTGCAGCATTTTCGCCCTTCTTCAGGATGGCACTTCTTGGACGCTAATGCCCATTTCACCACGATTGGTCCTCGCCTTCAAAAACCAGATCTTTACACCCTGCAGGAATCGGAACAGCGATCTGATGGTCATAGCATCAGCTCATATCAAAACATCAAATTAGTGCACAAACAGCTCTTGCATTACCCATAGCCTGTCACTGAACCAACTGGCAAAAGCTGCACTCCCAGTGGGATGCTCTGGAGAGCGGCGCAATGGTTGCGGGTGGTTGCGCAGCTCTGTTTGCAGACCTCACAGTTGCAGCAAGGTCTCTTCGCACGGCCACCACCTCTCACCTGCACATTATGTCATCCCAAGTCCACTACGGCTAATCATCAAGCCACTCGTCTGAGAACCTTTGATGAACAGCCATATAATCTAGAACTTTATGAGTGAAATTCCCCCTTCTGATAGCTTTCGAGAATTTGCGTGCAACATCCATTTCCACGTTTTTCGTTTTCCAAACGTTCTCTGAGCGATTTCGCTCAGCAGCAATTTTGGGAAACGTTCCCACTGGTTGGAAAATCACCGCTATTTTGATGATTGAATTTTCCGCCATCTGCGTTGCTCGTCATTCGATTACCAGCTGAGACAAAAAGAAGTTGAAAGGTACCCAATTGCCAGCACACCTATCGGTTTTCTCCCCTCGTCCGTTCCTCGAACCGTCACCTATAATAGCTTCATACCTTTTGAGGATTCTTCTATCCAATCGCTCCTCCTCGCTAGTGTTGCACTGTTTTCTGTTTACCCGCATTCGTTTGTTCTGAGACTCCGAAACGGGGATGGGCGGAGTGAGATTTTTCTTCTCATGCAGTTCCAAAGCTTCATCTGAAACTTGCACTCTGACTTCGGTCTCGAACCGGCCGCCGGAGCAATCGAATCTGTTTCTTTTTCCTTGACACAAAGGGCGACTGCACTTCCAGCTAACTATCCATGGCGATCCGTCATTCTCCTATCGTATGCGCTGTCCTGGTCACTCTGGTCGGCTTGGTCATGCAAACACAGAGCATGGCCCAAGGGGTCGTGATCGGCCGACGCGGCTCATATTTCTCTTGCATGTGTGTTTGATTAATTAAAACGGAGTCGATTTCCAATGTTTGTTCTGGTCAGTGCAACAATCATTAGGCACTCAAAGCACGGCAACCCATTTGAACAGCTCTCCAGAACACTTCAAGGTCATGGCCATTTGTTCATGCTAATTTAATAATTCCGCTTCGCTGTAAGTATCATGCTCAAAATGTTATACTTTTGCGTATTACCACTTGAAAAGTAAGCCGTGCTTCTGCAAAATGGCCAGCTGCCAATTGCTGTTCCTCAGAGAATCCGATGCGCCAATGGGTTCCCTCTAATAGCCCTATGCTCTCGCTCGGCGTTCAAGGGAGGTCTTGTACAATTCGTAGCCTCGGAGCCCTTCATTGTTTAACGATGGGAAATTTATAGCACAAAAAGGTATATCGCGTACGGATATTGCTCGGGCGAAGTGACGACGGCGGACTGCACGATTCTATCTCCTAGCATTGCAATCCTTCTGTCCCATAGAAACTTCGTTTCACTTTCTCTTCTACTTCTACAGTGCATCCAGTGTTGGGTTTATTCTCTGCTAGAAA